TCCAAAAAAAAAAATAGTTTCCCTTTCCCCAAACAATATTTCTAACGAAATTATATTTTTATAATCAAGTCAATCCTTTGTCATATAAATACGTACGAGTTACTCTCCAATAAAGCTTCAGTATGCTTGGGATCCTCAGGATCCTTTGGTGATGGTTTTGGACGAAATAATAATTTTTGAAACATAATTTATTAAAAAAAAAAAAGGAAAAAAAAACCAAAGGTTTTTTTTTTAAGAACATAAAATCGTGAAACGTACCTAACATTTTTGTGAATTTGTTACCCAAAAATATGGTTAACACAAAAAAAAAGATTGAATATTTTCCGTGTCACGATCTCCTTCCAAAACCCGCAAGTCGTGCGACTTCCGTGCAGACCTTTTGCCGATTATCTCTTTTTACATCTAGCCGTGCCTGGTTTTTTCGGTTTTTGGCGCGATCAACGTTTTAAACGTTTTAGCAAAAATTTGTTTTATAGTTGGTCACCTCCAAACTTTGACACCAAACAAATCCGTGTAATTCTTTGTCAAGATACGGGTGACAAGGTTAAATTGACATTGTTTGATTCAGCCTATTCCCTTATCTCAAATCCCACCACCAAATCGCCTGATAATCGAGATCGATCAAAGAATACTACAGCTAATACCTCAGAGTTATCATCATCTTGGAGTGGCAGTGGTGGTAGTATATTAAATGGACATTTTATTCAAAAATCAACGGCTGCCATTAATATCAGATCATCATCCACAAGTACCACCACCAGTAACAACATTATTAATAATAACAATGAGAGTAAAAGAAGAAATTTGGATTCTGTGAATAAAAAGGCAAATGCTCGAACTTTACCTCCGTCATTGAATCGAAATAATGCTGGACTTGGAACTCCTAAAAAAGTGAATAATAATTTTTTTTTGCAAAAACAGAAATAGGTTGATAATTTATATTAATTAATTATATTATTAATTATATTAATTTTAAAGGCAATTCATAATATCGATTTGATTGGGGAAATGATGTTTGGTGCTGTTCCTTTATCATATAAAGGAATGAACACAAAAATTCTACTTCAAAACCATCCGTAAATTACATCTTTTCTTGCATTATTTGCTAACAATATATAGAAAATTCATTTATTTATTCCATTATAGTTTTATTAATAAAATCATTAATGTAGATTCTTTTTAAAATTAACATAATAAAAAATTAATATTAAAATTAATCCATTATTATCATTAATTATTATATCTGTTATTGATTTAAATACGAATGAATATACAATAGAAGATTATAAAATATTCCCTTCTCAGCTTGGTTGAATTATTAATTATATTTTAAATACAAATGTGTGTAAATGCATGTTTGTGTGTTTTATATATAAGTTATCGATTGAATATAATATAAATATAAATGATTAATTAACGTTAGATAAATAAATAAATATAATTATTATAAATAAAATAAAAAATTGATTGAAAATAAAATAATAATAATGATAATAATAATAATAATTAGAAGGTTGTGCTGATCGAATCAATCAATGGAATATCAGATTCATCTATTCCCAATACTTCAATTAAATTTATTGAAGAATCTTCAGAATTTGAAAGAGGCGGGAGATAAATTGATTTTAGTGAAGCTGTTTGTGGACCATTATGGATATAAGGCATATTCTTATTATTGTTTGTGGTTGTGTTAGTTGTATTAGTGACACTAGCCGAAGATGCATTATTATATGTGGTTCTTAACAATTTTTTATATAGTATTGCTTTATAATAAAGTGTTCTCAATGTATCCTC